ATGGGGGGCAAACAGGGGCTTAATGGGATAGTGAAATGCTGGCGACGATTGTGGAAGAATTTGAAATTTCTGCCCGTGGTGGCCGTGCATTTTGGCGGGGTAGTGCGAGGTGGAAAAGAAGAAGAAGATGAAAGAATAATTTATTTTATTATTTCGTGTGAGAATATATAAAATTATAATTTTACCTCTATAAAAATTGTTGTTAATGTATTAAAATCATTTTTTTGGGTCAATTCACAACGATCTGAATGAAATCCGTCCGTTTATCCTCCAACCGCACATACTTAAAAGGTTTGTAACCACGAGTGCAACAAATGAAAAATTAGAGTAAAAATTGTAAATATTTGAAAGATTTAAAATCGTGACAGCAATTATCCCCATCAATAATGATAATTCGTGTCCATGGGAAAAGACGGGGGTGATCCATACAGTTCAAGAACCTTAATGAAGAAACATATATAATGGAATACTTCACCTTAATTGCCAAAGCAGTGAGATTACACATCTAGACAGTTTGCAAGACATAGCAATAACACAACAAACAAATTTCACAGTTCAAAACGGGGTCGAGAAAAAACACGCAAATGTAAAATGGCGAAGACCATATAACATCTTCATTTTCGGAATGGAAGAAAAGACCATAAATCATCTTTATTTGAGGAGTGTCTTGACAATGGACTTGACATTGAGCTTCTTCAAATCAGTGTAAGACTGTCCACATCCAACAAACATGACAGGTGATCCCGAAATGTATACCATTGACAATGCAGCTCCCACCTACGACACCATCGACCCATTTCATGATAAAGATACCAAAAATAAAAAGAAATAATGTTGAAATCATAAAGTACTCAGATAAGGCTGTCATGTTTGGTTAAGCTAAAAGAGTTAGCTTATAAGAAGTTTACTTCTGAGTAAATAATTTCTAACTTGTAAATAAAGAGATCCCTCGGGAGTTTATGCATTAACCAGAAAAGGAAAATGAATGAGGAAGGACCTTACCTTATCATCAATAGTATCGAACTTGGTAAGCAGGATCCCATCAATCAATCTGGGGTTGGG